CGTTCCCCAGGGTGTACTGTCCTGTCCTCAGACACTTGAGGACTCCCTGTGGGCACCACCGTCGCTTCTGAATTGCTCTGAAGCTTCCCTTCTTCGCGCGTGGGGTAGTGGGTGAAACCTAGGACGATCACATTGGGGAACCTGGGGCATCTCCTCTGAGCTAACTCCTTCAGACACAGACTCTGCCCTGCAGCGCCACCTTCTGGCAAATCCTGGTATTGTCTTTGTATTGCTGTTCTGTAGCTGGGGAATTTGCAGGTCAAATATTTGGTTTGGCTTCAGTGTCCTGCCCGGCTCAGGGAGGAGGGGACTGAGGGTGATGATGTGCATACAGCCCTGGTGTGCTCAAGGCTCTGGTGGGGAATGATGGAAAGAGACATTGTCCGGGTTCACCTGAGTCCGGCCAGCCAAGACCCAAGAATTCACCGTGACATGAGGGTTGGGTTAACTTTCCCCGTGTCAGAAAGCTGTCAGCTATGGCAGTGACATTCCAGGAGATGTGGTGGTGGCCAGCCCCCAAGAACAAGCACTGCTCGAACAGTCATTTCGTTTTCCTGGGGAACCCACTACAACAAGGGGGTCAGGAGCCAGTGGTCATTCAGCACTGGGCATACGCCGAGACACCCCGTGTCAGCTGCAGCCTTTGTGTGTGTGGTGTCACCGTGTCCCTTTTCAGATGGAGAAACAGAGGCACAGAGGCAACAAGTAACTTACAGCTTCATACTGAGCAATAAAAATAACTCACATGGGGCCAGCAGGTGGCATGGAAGTTAAGGCACTGGATCCCAATGGCTGACTTTGGTTTGAGTTCCAGACCTGACAGCTTAGAAAACATGTCAGTTGCGTGTGCATGCGTGCCCAAAATCCCAAGAGGAGACTGGAGGAGAAGGGATTGCAGCTCAGCCATTCACCCAGGGGTGTGTGTGGGGATGCTTTTTCATTTTCCCTCTCTCTCTGATTTTCTCGCGAGCACATGGGCCCTATACCAAAAAGCAAACAGAAATTCCCGCAGATGGCATGCCTGTCCCTTGGTAGGCTTACTTAATACCTATGTCACGCTCCTGATAACCGTCCGATCCAGGTCCCACCCGCAGCCCCCCTTTGAGGCTCTGAGAGGAGAAGTAATATATCTGAGGCTGTACTTGGTGAGTCAGGGGAGAGCTGGGCTTTGAAGCCAGGAGCTGAATGTGGGACACTGGGACACAGCCCCTGTCCCCACCCTCACCCCCAGCCCCAGCCTCCAGGACCCTGCTGGGCCTCATCTGCCACCTGTGCTCACTTCCCAGGGCTCTGGAGGCCACGGGCATGATGCTTCGGGTCCTGGTGGGGGCCATCCTCCCTGCCATGCTGCTGGCGGCCCCCCCGCCCATCAACAAGCTGGCACTGTTCCCGGACAAGAGCGCCTGGTGCGAAGCCAAGAACATCACCCAGATCGTGGGCCACAGCGGCTGTGAGGCCAAGTCCATCCAGAACAGGTGGGACCCAGGGGCTGGGTGGGGGCTGAGGACAGGGGCCTGGGACTGCCCCTCTCTGCCTACCCCACAGTGACGTGGGGACCTCTCCTCCCACAGGGCCTGCCTAGGACAGTGCTTCAGCTACAGTGTCCCCAACACCTTCCCGCAGTCCACAGAGTCCCTGGTGCACTGTGACTCTTGCATGCCGGCCCAGTCCATGTGGGAGATTGTGAGTACTGCCCTGGCTCAGCCATTGTCCCTGACATTACAGGACTCAGTAAGCCCCAGCGTGTGCAGGGTGCCGGGGTACAGACAAGGTCCCTGCCATGGGTGGCTCACCAGGCTGATCCAGCATGTCCAGGACAGGGATCTTTCTGAAGCCTCACGCTGATGTCACCCACGCTGAAACCCTTTCGGTGGTCCCCATTGCTACAGGGCGAGACCAGGATCTTTGCCAGGCCCCACCAGGGCCCATGTGGTTGCTGACCGGGATTTCTAGCTTTCCTTGCCTCCCACCTTCCTTACTGGCTTGCCACTTAACACCTACTTGCCTCCTGTCAGTCCCTCGTACCTGCTCTGCCTGCTACCACCACAGGGCCTTTGCACGTGCTCTGTCCCCTGCTCGGACCTCCTTTCTCCTCTTCCTCTCCTCAGTCAGTTTCTGTCCATGCATCTGCTCCCGGCTAGCCCCGGGGCGAGTCCCTGTGCTGTTGGCTCTCAGAGCACTGCCCGCCTCACTCTGAGATCTGTCACGCCGCAGTCTCCGTCTCACCTGGGGATTTCCACGGGTCTCTTTCCTCCACCAGCCTCTGTCCCTGACCGAGCCTGTCCTGTGTCCTCACAGTAGATGCTCTTTGGAAGGAAGGAAGGAAGAAAAGGAAAGCGGAGGGAAGGGGAGGGGAGGGAAGGGACAGCCGGAAGTGGAGCAGCAGGGGAAGGGCAGATGCGAATGATGAGGTTCCCATGGATGAGCCTCTGCTGGGCTGGGGTTCTGGCCGGAGCTCTTTTGAAGAAGTGATATCTGATCCAAACCCAGAGGGGAGTGGAAGTTAATCAGGGGCAGCTTGGCAGGTGGGGCCAAGTGGCTGGGCAGGACCCGTCCAGGCACAGGAAGCCGCATGTGCAGTCTCAGGCCCGCAGTACAGTGGGCAGGAGTGTTCCGGGGCAGCCAAGGGTGGCCTAAGTAAGGGGCCAGGACCTTCACATGCCGTGGGGGCGCTGAGGGGAATTTGAGGCCGGGACAGGCCACACTGGATTCTTCCCCCTGACGTCCTCTGGCAGCCGGGTGGCGTGGGGAGGAAGGTGGCAGGACTGGGTGTGAGTTGATGAGTCAGGCGGCTCCTGTGAAGGCCCAGGGAGCTACTCGGGGTATCACAGGTGGGCACTGAAGTTCTTGGTCCTACGAGGAAGGACAGCTCCCCACCTTGGGCCCCCACCTGCCCCAGGCCTTGAGTAACACGCCTCCTCTTGTCTCCCGCCCTCCAGGTGACCTTGGAGTGCCCCGGCCACGAGGAGGTGCCCAGGGTGGACAAGCTGGTGGAGAAGATCCTGCACTGCAGCTGCCAGGCCTGCGGCAAGGAGCCCAGTCACGATGGGCTGAGCGTCTACGTGCAGGGCGAGGACGGTCCGGGCTCCCAGCCTGGCGCCCACCCCCACCCCCACCCTCACCCCCACCCTGGTGGGCAGACCCCTGAGCCTGAGGACCCTCCTGGGGCCCCCCATGCTGAGGCCGAGGGGGCTGAGGACTGAGGCTCCCCAGCCTTCCTCCCCTTTCATCCCCCTGTGAAATACTGGGTCACACCCCCTGGGAAGTATAGGGGGAGAGGCTGAAGCCCCCCTTGGCACTGGATGGACTTGGATTTGGACCTGAACTTGGAATGCTGCCAGTTGCCATGGAGATCTGAAAGGGAGGGGTTGGAGCAGGCTGCACAATTTAATATATTCAAGAGTGGGGGGAGGAAGTGGAGGTCTGGGGGCTCTTTTTTGGAGGAGGGGGTCTCTCATCCTTTCTGCCTTCTAGAGATATGCTATTGGGAAGGGAGGAAGGTGGCCACCTGCTGGCAGGGGGTAGTGAAGCCATCTGAGACTAGGGGGCAGGTAGGAGCTAGGTGAGGGCCTTCCCTGCCCTGGTGGGCAGGCCCCCTGGAGTGATCCTAAAGAGGGGGGGCTGGGCTAGGCAAATCATCTGTGTGAGCAGGAAGTTGCAGCCCCACTTCCCTGAAGGCCTCCCACCCTACTCCTTTCCCTGGGGAGTGTCTCCCCATGGCACCAAGGTGGCCTCCCTCGGCAGAGTGGTTTGGGAGTCAGGCCCAAACAGGACCTCGCCGAGTGCTGGCACGAGAGCAGGAGCCGGGTCTCTGAGCCTTTCTTTGGCTTCCTTGGCTTTCCTGGGGTGTTGGGGGGAGGACAGAGTGGGAGGAGGAGCAGGGGGAGCCCT